ATACTAACATATCACAGAGAACATTCAACCTCCAGGTATTTTTATTATTATTATTATTGGTTTATTTCACTCAGCACGATCGTCTCCAGCTCCGTCCATTTACCGGCAGATGCCACCATCTCATTCCTTTTTATGGCTGAGTAATATTCCACTGTGTCTATGTCTCACATTTTCTTTATCCACCCTTCTGTTGAAGGTGCTGGTTCCACAGCTCTGCAATTGTGAACTGAGCTGCTATAAACACGGATGTGCCTGCGTCACTGTAGTGAGCCCATTGTACGTCCTTTGGGTATAAACGAGGAGTGGGACAGCTGGGTCCCATGGCACTGGAATGGCCAGGGGACAGACCAGACCTGAGGAGCAGGTGGGGGATCACTATTTCTCCATCCATAATAAACTCCCGGTGGCTTTCTTTGCTCTGCGCCAGTGTCTGTGCCTCTCAGCCTTCCGCGGTGATGGACAGGGCAGCGAGGATTTCCTGAGAGATCTGAGCATGCTCTCTGCTGCCTTTATCTTCCTTCTTATTTATTATTATTATTATTATTATTTTACAGTTGCAAGAATGAGGGTCTAAATCAAATCATCCACCGGGAAAGCAGCAGACTGCAGCTGGACGATGCTGACGGACGACAGAGATGGGCAGCAGACCTGCAGGACAGGCAGGACGGACTGTGGACCAGGCCTCAGAGCGCCTCCCTTTTGTCAAGTGAAGATGAAGGTGATCTATAAGCCAGGGGGTGTGGGGGTGAGCTCCCCAGGCCTGGCAGACGAGGTGTTGGTCACACACACAGACTGACATTCCAACTTGCAAAGATACGGAGGCCGGGCTGGGAGGAAGAGCCGCCGTTTCCTTCAATTATGAATTAAAAATATGATTAGCCGACCCTCGCCCCAGTCACCAGGAAACAAGACCAAAGGCTCTTCTTTCTTTTAATTTGGTGCCTGGGATTGAACCCGGGGGTGCTCAACCTCGGATCCCCGTCCCCAGCCCTTTTAACTTTTTATTTAGAGACAGGGTCTCGCTGAGTGGCTCAGGGCCTCGCTAAGTGGCTGAGGCTGGCCTCCAACTTGCGATCCTCCTGCCTCAGCCTCCCGAGGGATGGCAGGTGGGCGCCCCTGTGCCTGGCTCAAGGATTTTCCTATGAAGGGAAGAATGAGGAAGACTTGGGAATCCAATAAATGGGATCCTCAGTCCCATTCTGCAGGAGCGGGACTGGGCTGGGAGGTATGGCACATTCTGCAAAAAAAAAAAACCTTTGGGCCAGCCCAACATACTCAGTCCCCCCAGTGGCTCAGGGAGGTCAGCCGTGCACACTCAACCCCGTCCACAGCGGCCACTGTCTACACAGCAGGTGCTGTGCTCACCTGCTCCCTCACCTGTGCACCTGGGGTGGGGCAAGCGATCTTGTCTTGTTGGCTGAACCCTTGACATACTTAAGGGATTCGGACACGTCTATATTTTCTCCTCTTCCTCGTCCTGGACTTCTGCTCACAGTTCAGATCTGTCTGTCAGTCTGTGAGATGATTGAAGAATCTAAGCATGTGGCCGGGTGCGGTGGCCCAGGCCTGTCATCCCAGCAGCTGGGGAGGCTGAGGCAGGAGGATCGCAAGGTGGAGGCCAGCCTCAGCCACTTAGCGAGGCCCTGAGCAGCTCAGTGAGACCCCGTCTCTAAATAAAAAGTCAAAAGGGCTGGGGACGGGGCTCCGTGGTTAAGTACCCCTGGGTTCAATCCCTGGCCATCAATCAATCAATCAATCAATCTCAGCATCTGTAGTTAGAAAGTCTTTCTATGATGTCGTCCACAAAGTAACGCTAGAAAGAGTGTCCCCCCAAAAATCAATCAGCCAATCAGCCACACACAAAAGGAATCAGATCTAACAGAAAAAGCAGAACAGGAATTTGGATCATGATTAGTGATTCAGAGAGCCGTACGGGGGAGGATCGTGCCCTTCATGAAGAAAATAAGAATATTAAAAACTTGATTCTTCCCTTAGGAGGGGAAAAAAACCTCAGTAGGCAGGTTGGAAAGTAGAATGAATACAGCTGAAGATGAAATCAGGAATCTGAACATTCTCATTGAGGAATTATGCCAGCACACGGCACCCAAGTACAGAGAAAGAGAAAAGTTACACACTTCATGCAGTGGCGCACGCCTGCCATCCCACTAGCTCAGGAGGCTGAGGCAGGAGGCTCGCAAGTTCGAGGCCAGCCTCAGTATCTTGGTGAGGCCCCCAAGCAACTGTCACTAAATGAAATATGAAAAAGGGCTGGGATATGGCCTCAGAGGTTAAGTGCCCTTGGGTTCAGTCCCCAATACCAAAAAAAAAAAAAAAAAAAAAGTCACAGGATGTAGAAGGTAGTGAAATGGCAACCGTCATTAAAGTAGGATCCCTTGGAAGAGAGAATAGACAGAATGAAGAAATGGGTTTCTGAGAGGCAATAAAGGCATTTCTCTTTTAACGAGAAACCCGTGAATGCCGAGACTGACAGGGCCTCTCAAGAGATGGAGATGATAATAGAGCGGGATCTTCAAAGTCGGAGCCTATAATTACACACTCAGCCCATTATAAAGCTATCCATCACCGGGAGGACCAAACAAAGACATCTCCAGGCACGCAGAAGCCAAACATTTTGAGATCCTCGGATACGTCCTAAAATAGACGCCAGAAGATGTGTTCCAGCAAGAAGAAAGATGCAGACATGCCAAAGAAACCGGGGGCAAGAAACCGTGGGAGAGCGTCAAATAGCAAGAGCTGTGTTTTATTTGTTCTTTTTAGCGCTCCACGACAGTAGCGTGCATTCTGACCTGTCACACACGTACGTACACGGGGTGTCACTTCCCAGGCCTGTGGTTGGCCTGCTGTGGGGTGTCCCTGGCTGAGCGTTCATATGTGAACGTGGGAAAGTGATGCCTATTCATCCCCCGTCTTTCTTATTCCCAACCTTTTCCCTTCCCCCCCAATCCCCACCTCTAATCCAGTGAACCTCCACTCTTCCCCCCGCTACTGTGAATCAGCATCTGCCTATGGGAGAGATCATCTGGACTTTGGTTCTTTGGGACTGGCTTGTTTCACTTGGCTTGATTGCCTCCAGTTCCGTCCATTTACTGGCAAACGTCATCATTTCGTTCTTCTTTATGGCCGAGTAATATTCCACTGTGTATATGTACCACAGTTTCTTTATCCGTTCATCTGTTGAAGGGCCTCTAGGTTGGTTCCCTAGCTTAGCTGTTGTGAATGGAGCTGCTATAAACACTGATGTGGCTGTGTCACATCAGTGACACATAACTATATGGCCCTATCTGGAACCTAGCATAACTATACGGTGCCCTGTCTGGAACCTCAGTGGCATCCGCGGAGGCTACAGGTACACACTCTCCGGGATGGATAGGGGTAGGCATTCCACGGGACAGCACAGAAATCTGTCCCCAAAAGACAGGTGCTGAAATGTTCATAGCATCGGCCACCACACTCCCGGCCTGGCACCGACACGGTGCTCACCAACAGTGCGCTGGACCGTTATAATCCCAAGTGCAAGGGATGTTGCAGCACAGGACACTATCCAGACCAAGAAAAGGACTGTCACCGTGGGCCTGTGGGGATGCGTCCCAGAGGCACCAGGCCCCTGAGCCGCCAGACACAAAGGAATCAATATTATGATCTCATTTATATAAAGTCGGAAAACAGACCAACTGATTCACCACGTGATGATGTAGGTGGTATTTATACGGGTGTGTTGGCCTTGGGAAAGTGCATCAAGCCACACACTGAAGATCTGGCCTCGTTACCGTGGGCCCATTATACTTTCATGAAAGTGATGTGAAATCATCATGAAACGAATACATCCAGGGAAGAGGGAAAGGCAAGAGGGGAAAGTAAAACTGTGCTCATTTCTTGTGGGGTCACATGAGCACACATGGTGACTGGAACAGACTTCAGGGGCTGGGGCTCAGCGGTAGAGAGCTCGCCTAGCACGGGGGAGCACTGGGTTCGATCCTTGCACCACACCAAAATAAATAAAGTTCAATAGACAACTAAAAAATATGTATATGTGTATATATAAATTATATTCTTTTTATTTGTACCAGGGATTGCACTCAGGGACCCTCGACCCCTGAGCCCCGTCCCCAGCCCTATTCTGTATTTTATTTAGAGACAGGGTCTCCCTGAGTGGCTCAGGGCCTTGCTGTTGCTGAGGCTGGCCTCCACCTTGCGATCCTCCTGCCTCAGCCTCCTGAGCCCCTGGGATGACAGGCGTGTGCCACCGTGTCTGGCACAATTATACATCCTTAAAAGGTGAAAAAATACAGAAAAAAAAATGGTAAAGCAAAATGTAAAGCTGGAAAAAATAACTGGAAAGTATGTTAAAATCAAACAAAAATGACATGAGTGGTTCTAATCATACTGGCTATTACAATATATGTAAATGGATTAAACACTAATCAAAAGGAAAAGACTCTGGCTGGATCAAAATAAATCTCTAGCTGGTCTGCATTTCATGTGAGGCACTTCTAAACCAAACAATCCAGAAAAATGAAGACGATAGAATGAAAACACTGATAAAAGCAAAGAGAGAGGGCAATATTTATTCAGATGAAATGGAATCCAAGACCAAATCCTTTAATAAGGCTGGGCACCATGGGGCACACCTGTGATCCCTGAGGTTTGGGAGGCTAAGGCAGGAGGATCACTAGTTCAAAGCCAGCCTCAGCAACTTAGTGAGGCCCTGAGCCACTCAGCGAGACCCTGCCTCTAAATAAAATATAAAAAGGGGCTGGGGACGGGGCTCAGGGATCAAGCACCCCTGGTTCAATCCGCAGTACAAAAAAAAAAGAAGAAAAACACAGTGCAAAATCTGTACCCTGAAAACTGGAAAACACTGTTGCCTAGGAGGGGGAAATTAACAGGAAAATGACGTGAGCATGTCCGACGGGGGATGAGGGTCTACGTCTCGGTGGGGGTGGCGGCCACGTGAGCTCCACGTTATGAATATCAAGCTGTACACTTGGCATCTGTGATTTTTATTACAAAAACTAATTGGAAGGCTCCCGGTCTCAAAGATCCAGAGTCACCCAGGTTGAAACTGGAAGGCGACCAAAAGATGCTGGGCGCCCTGCAACAAAACAAGGAACAATCAAGCATCATTTCCGTTGCGCCTCGGCCGTGATTTTAAATACACGGAGCAGGACCTGGCAGGGCTACAAGCAGATGAACCCAGATCCTCAGCAGGCAATTTTAACAACACTCTGCAAGAAACACAAAGAGGACTTGAATAAAAACAATTAACGAGCTCCGTCTCAGCACACACACACACACACACACACACACACACACACGCACACACGCGCACACGCACACACGCGCACACGCACACGCGCTCTTTCTTCCAACCGTCTTCCAACAGAGAGTCCATACCTCTTGACCACAAATGGAATATTCTGGAAAAGCCGACCACATATCGGTCCTCGCAGGAAATCTAAATCAATGACAAAGACCTGTTAGGATTGGGGTCCTGTTCCCGATTGAAACACCATGAAATGCCAGGTAGCTGGGGTCACCGGTGAGCATCTTCACCCCAGGATAGGTATCGCTTCTTTTTTTTTGATTTTATTTTTATCTCTTTTCTTTCTCGGTTTCTCTCCCAATTAAAAAAAAAATCAACAGAATAGGGACCGGGGCTGTAGCTCAGCAGTAGAATGCTCGCCCACTGTGTGTGAGATTGGGTTGCATCCTCAGCACCACATAAAACTAAAATTAAGAGATCGTGCCCATCTATAACTAAAAAAATAAATGTTAAAAAAGTAAAACAGAATAAATAAATTTCATGATTTTGTTTTGGTTCCTTTCAAAGACATTCTGTAGTTGCCGATGGACGGCATGCCTTTATTTGGTTTATTCATACGTGGCGCTGAGGATGGAGCCCAGTGCCTCACGCGTACTAGGCAAGCGCTCTGCCACCCAGCCCCAGCCCCTGAGCACCCCTAGCCCCAGCCCCAGCCCCAGACCTTTGGTTCTTATTTTATAGTACTGTCTTTAAAAGTTAAATTGTTTTTGAGTTTTTAATTTTTTAAGAATTCACAAACTGCACTCAACGGTATCGAAAGACATTTTAGGAATGCAAGTCTGTGTTAAGCTTGAGAAAAATCTACCAATGTCATCACTCCTTGATTATGTTAGAAGAAAAAACCACATAATCTCCTCAGAAACAAAAACACTTTTGAATGTATTCAACGCACATACTTCCATGATTAAAAGAACGAAAGCTTTCAACCACGAGGCATGCACCTATTCAGATGGCCAAAATCGCCAGGCACAGTGGCCCACGCCTGTCATCCCGGCGGCTGGGGAGGCTGAGGCAGGAGGATTGAAAGTTGGAGGCTGGTTTAACTGCACAGATGTGTGTCGAAGGAGCCCATCGGAAAAGGCTGCTTATTGTGATTCTAACGGTACGATATTCCGTAAAAGGCAAAACTCGGGAGGCAGTAAGAACATCAGTGGTAGCCAGGATGTGGAGGAGGGACGGAGCAACAGACGGAGCATAGATGTAGGTTGTCTTCCTACATGTGCCCAAACCCACAGAGTGCATCGGGAGTGAACCCACATGCACACGGAGGGCTTTAGCGATAAGGTGTCCATGTGGAGTCAACAACTGAATCCAAAGTACCCTGGGACCGCAAGGACTCAAAATCAGCCTACCGTAAGTGACACGGCCACATCAGGGTTTCTAGCCGCTCAGTTTACAATAGCTAAGCTAGGGAACCAACCTAGGGGCCCTTCAACCGATGAATGGATAAGAGCACGGTGGTACACACACACCGCGGAATATTACTCAGCCGTAAAGAAGGAAATGATGGCCTTTGCCGGTAAATGGATGGAACTGCAGACTATCGCGCTAAGTGAAAAAAAGCCAATCCCCGAATACCAAAGGCTGAATGTTCTCTCTGACACGTGGATGCTCACACACAAGGAGGAGTGGGCAAGAATAGCAGTTCAGGGGAATGAAGGAGTGGGAGAGACAGGGGAATGGATGGACGTCCCTTTCCCATGTTCACATAGGAACCCACGACCAGGGACACCCCACAGCAGGTCCAGCCACAGGAGAGGGACGTCACGCCCCGTGTGGGTGGGACATGGCAGGATGCTCGCTGCTGTCATGGAGAGGTAAAAAGAACAAATAAATATTTTAAAAAAAACAGCATCAGCCATGCGAAATAGCTGAGGAGAGACAGAAAGTACCACGGGCATGGGATGTTGACCGCGGGCACTGTGTGGGCCTCGGGCTAGGAGCGCCTCGGAAATCTCTGCACCTTCTGCTCACTTTTACTATGAATCTAAAACTGGTCTACAAATAAAGTATTTTTTTTTTAAGTGTGGGGGACCCCAAAACCAAGCTTCTGGCGAATTAGGTTCTAAGTATGACACAAGGAGGGCTGGGGCTGGGGCTCAGTGGTAGAGCGCTCGCCTAGCACGTGCGAGGCCCTGGGTTCGATCCTCTGCACCACATAAAAACAAATAAATAAAATATTGTGTCCAACTGAAAAATAGATATTAAAAAAAACCACAATGGAAATCTCCCTACTTACTAATGAACAAACAACGTAACCATCATTGCTCTGTTCAACCATTTTATTGGAAAGTCCCTCTGGTGACATAATGCGCAGGGGAAACCATATGAATATTGAAGAGGAAGGGACAAGACGGAGAGATCATTTGCACAACAGATGATCGTCTGCCTGGAAAAACTCTCAAGAGTCAATTGACAAATCAATAGGCGAGTTTGGCAGTGCCAGCAGATGCGAAATCCACAGAGAAAAATCAATCGCTTGGGCTGGGGATGTAGCTCCGCCGTACAGCACTTGCCTACCAGGTGCAGGGCTCTGGTGTCAGAGCCCAGCGCTGCAAAGACAAAACAAAAACCAAAAAAAGAAAAAAGAGGAAAAATCGAGCTTAATTAAAGCCAAAAAAAAAAAATTTTTTAAAAAAGAAAGAAAAGGAAATAAATGCATACCTAAAAGCAACAAATTCTATAAAATATCTAACAAGAAATCTGATAAAGCCAGGCACAGTGGCGTGCACCTGTAATCCTAGGAACTCGGGAGGCTGAGGCAGGAGGATCGCAAGTTGGAGGCCAGCCTCAGCAATTTAGCGAGGCCCTGAGCCACTCAGCAAGACCCTGTCTCTAAATAAAAATATAAGAAAGGGCTGGGGACGTGGCTCAGGGGTTAAGTGCTTCTGAGTTCAACCCCTGGTACCAAAAAAAAAAAAAAAAAAAAAAAAAAAGGGAATAAATCCAATGAACGTGTCTAAGTACTATATGAAGCAACTGAAATTTACCAGACAGTCCTCGATAAGAGTGAGGTGCATCGATTCCCCCCTAAATTCCGTGAACTCAATGGAATTCTAATCAAAATCTCAGTGAAGACTTGATGGTATCTATGGCAAGATGACTTTCCCCAGGAAAAGAAATTTCCAGAAATATCCAAGTTAATTTGGAAAAACAAGCAGTGATTCCTCTCATCAGATAACCAAGTATCTTCTAAAGTAGGTCCGTTGCGTGGTAAATTCTTCTAGGATTATCTAAAAGCACAGGGACACCAGTCCAGGAACATCATGTACCTATGAATAAATGCTTTATCATAAAGTTGGCTCAAATTCAGCAGCAAAGCCATCAATAGGCCGTAAATGATCAGAGTGCAATTGAGTATATATATATAAAAAAAAAAACTCTACATGAAATAGCCTTACAGCATAATTAAAACAAATTACAAATGGTTTTAAAAGGCAAACATAGAAAAATTTATTTTGCAATCCCAGGAGATAATTCCTTATTAATACATAAAAAGCTACAAGCCAAAAATATCGAGTAGGATGTAGAGACTGAACAAAGATAAAATGTATGTCGAGAACATTTGCTTTTTCGATAATATATATAAGTGGTGGACAAGAAGAAAATAGTTACAGCATCTAGAACAGAGAGGGGTAATAATTAGGACATTGCTTTGTTTCATCAGATTTTGAGACAGAATACAAGAGGAAGGGAAAAGTCTATTTGGGGACAGTTGCAGAGGTCTCAATCCATAGATGCCTGACTGCATTGCTCTGCGCCCCGGGGGAGGTAGGACGTGATCGGGGAAGGGCCCAGCAGAGCAGACCCACTCTCCTCCTATTGGTAAGAAAGCTGACAGAAGGGGTACAGGGCTGCAGGGAAGACATATTCAAGCTGGGATGGACTGATTAGGTCACAGCTCTCCTAATCCAATCATTTCACCTCTCAATATTGCTGTATTAACAGAAGCATTTGGGGGAACACCTCGTAGCCAAACTCTTAACTGCCATATATAAAGAGTTTTTACAAATCAACAATGAAAGGTTTAAATAAAGTCAGCCAAGTCTATGAAAAAGTAATTCACAGAAAAGAAGAAATGTATGAGAGTCAACCTTGAACAGTGGTATTCAGGGACGGGCCCTTAATCAGATCAGAGACCGGGCAGGCCTCCTTCTTTGTCTTCGTGGAAGTTGCAGATAGCAACAGTACGCAGCCATCTCCTGGGTCACATTCTACATTGGCAGGGAGCAAGCCGGGGGCCCTGGGCAGCTCTCGAGCAAGCCCACTGTTTAAAGTTACCGGCTGGCTGGCAGGTTCAGGTGCAGAGAGCGGGGGACCCTGGTTATCTCAGCCAGGCAGTTCCTTCCTCCCCAGGAGCCGAGTGCCCGAGAGCAAGGTCAAAGCCGATAAGACTCTGGCAACAGAGTCTCCCCGTGGAGAGCATCGCCATAGCAACCGGGCATCCTACACCTTTGCACGGGAACTTTCCCAGTCACCAAGCAGGCCACAGCCATGAAGCCATGAGGGAGCCCAGTCTCAGACACTGGTCTCCCCGTCACTGTCACCGCGCTCCACGGTGTGGGGCTGGAGACAGGGCTGTGGGCCGTTCCCCTGGGAGGCCCCTGCCCACCGAGGAGGCAGGTCCCATGCCAGCCGAAGGCCTGCGCTGGTGCATGCCCAAGCTCCCTGGGGAGGTGTCCCCATTCTTTCCCTCATGCCTACACCCCTTTCTGAGCCTTGGGCCCTGAGGGTCCATGGTCACGTTCCAGCTCCAAGTCCCACACAAAGAGCGAGCCAGGCCGGCCATGTCCCCAGGGTCATGATGAGCCAGATGGGTCACTAGAAAGGGCTCCATCTACTGAGCTACACACCTTGACTCTGGCCGGGCCTGGTGGGCACCTGTCATCCCAGTGACTCGGGAGGCTGAGGCAGGAGGATCGCAAGTTGGAGGCCAGCCTCAGCAACTCAGTGAGGCTCTAAGCAACTCAGTGGAGACCGTCTCTAAATAAAATAAAAAAAATAGGGCTGGGGAGGTGACTAACGGTTAAGTACCCCTGGGTTCAATCCCTGGTACAAAAACAAACAAACAAACAAAAAACAATTTTAAAACATCTCGGTTCCTTCTGGGAGCGGAGTCACATTTCATATCTGAGCCTGTGACCCAACATGGCAGGCTGCTTGGAAAGATCCCGGAGTGTTTCTTTGCCAGATATTATTCTAAGTCCACTCAAACACACCACTCTCATTCCTGCTTTACAGATGGGGAAACTGAGGCACAGCGGGGTTGTTTTTTTTTTTCCCTAAGTAAGAAGATCACAGGAGGGGTACGGAGGCACACACCTAGAATCCAGTGGCTTAAAAGGCTGAGGCAGGAGGGTCACGAGTTCCAAGTCGGCCTCGACAACTCAGCCAGGCCATAAGCCACTGAGCAAGACCCCATCTCGAAATAAAGTGGTCGATCAAGCCAGTGGTGCACACCTGTCCCCCCAGTGGCTTGGGAGGCTGAGGCAGGAGGATCACAGTAAGCAAGGCTCTAAGCAATTTAGTAAGACCCTGTCTCAAAATTAAAATCATGAAACATAGTAAGGGCTGGGATGTGGCTCAGTGGTTAAGCACCTCATTCCCTGGTACCAGGAAAAAAAAATCAAAAGGGAAGTACAGCCATAATTGAAGGATTTATAATTATAATTATTATTATTATTATCTTAACCACTGAATCACATCCCAGCCCTTTTCTAATATTTTACTAGAGACAGGATCTCGCTGAGTGGCTCAGGGCCTCCCTAAGTGGCTGAGGCTGGCCTCCACCTTGCGATCCTCCTGCCTCAGCCTCCCGAGCCACTGGGATCACGTGACAGAGCCTTTCTATTTAATCACTCATTTTCCTGCCTCTCTTAACAAGGAGTGGGTGACACAGTTAAGGAGCCCAAGTCCTGTTCACTGACTTGCTCCATCAGTCTGTCACTCGATAATTTCTCGAGTGCCCATCTGTGTCGGCCCCTATACTGGGTTCAAGGAATTCGGTGATGCAGAGAGCAGACCCATCCTTCTCCTCTGAAGCCTCTTAGTAAATCTGTGTGTGCACAGGGGACAGTTCTGGTTGGAGGCTGATCAAAAACAGATGAACGAACAATGGACTTGGAGAAGATCTTTCGAGAATTCTGTGGAGACGGGGGCCAGGCCCAACACGCCCTGCTCCTGGCCACCTCAGCTCCTGCCCCCAACTTCTCCCGGGCACCGAATCCTCCTTCCCTGCGTCTCCCCTGCCAGCAGCCCCGCTCAGGGGAGCGGTGACAAAGCGGTGATTTTTCTGTGGCACGGCCCCAAGAGGAAAGCTGCTGGTGTGCAGAGCGCCTGGCTGTCCCCGGGGGCTGTTCCTCACACGAAGCAGCCATCCGCTCGGCTGAGTCGCCAAAATCCAGGGCTAAAGCTGCAGCTTAAAAGTCTGAAAGGCAGAAAAAAGGAAATTGGGGCCAAGGAAGCGGATCGTGCCTTCCTGCCCCAGCACCCCCGTGCCCCGCTGCTGCTGATCCACTCCATCTGGAGGCTTTGTCTCGCTCGGAGAGTTTCCTGGATTTCCAGAGAGCAGGTGGGGACCCCAGAGCAGGGCTTTGGGACAATGGGCCAGTAGCTTTGTTATCTTGGCTGGCTCTCTGCACTCTGCGGTGGACACACGCGTGCGCGCACACACACACACACCCTGGGATGCAGACGCAGCACACACAGCGCCCTGCTGACAGGGAGGTCCAGGCAGGAGCAGATGGCTGCTGGGCTAGGAGGTCCAGAGGCTGAACAAAGAGGCTGTCACAAAGGTGTGGGCGGGGCCCGGCTGGCAGGGCTGAGCCCGGGGCTGCCTGATAGCAGCTCTTCTGTGCCCTCTGCCAGGGCCTGGGCGAGGGCTGGGCGGGTGACCGTGACTGGCCAAGGCCATCCTGGCTTCTGGAAAGATCTTCTTGGTCCTGGGAGAGACAGTCACCTGAGAACGGGGCCCTTTGTGCACGGGTGTCCTCCCAGCTCAGGGCTGAGGCTGGGCAGGGGCGACACTCAGGGCCGAGGTGCCCTCCTGAAACCACTCAGGGGTGTCACCCACAGGCTGAGCAGACACGGGGCAGGCCCCCAGTCCCCTGGTGAAGCCTGCTGTGAGTCTCACCCAGTGGAGGCCAGGAGTGTCGCACCGATGGGCGTCCCTCCCTATGGAAACCCGAGAGTGGGAGAGAAGGTTCCGCCCACTAGTGCTACCTTCCAGGCCTGGCCCAGTGAAGGTGGTGGAGTGGCACTGTCCCCAGGCTGACAGCTCCATGAGGACCCCACAGGGCCCTGTGCATTGTGGACAGCTGCATTTTTTTTCAAATATACATATTTTAGTGGCAGGTGGACATTGTGTCCACCTGCTACATTATTTCATTGATCTGTTTGTACGTGGTGCTGAGGGTGGAAGCCCTCACACCCGCGGAGCAAGCGCTCCACCCTGGAGCCCCAGCTCCAGCCCCGCCAGCTGTATCCCTGCCATCCCAGCGGCTCAGGAGGCTGAGGCAGGAGGATCGCGAGTTGGAGGCCAGCCTCGGCCAAAGTGAGGCCCTAAGCAACTCCGTGAGACCCTGTCTCTAAATAAAACACAAAATAGGGCTGGGGATGGGGCTCAGGGGTGGAGGGCCCCTGGGTTCAATCCCTGGTACCAAAAAATAAAAAATAAAAATATAAAAAGCCACTTCACAAATGGCTTTCCAGTCCTCCATCCTTGTGGTCCATTCAAACTTTCTAGAATTTTCCCCACCAAACTCATCCTCCCAGCCCTCTGGGCCCTGTCTTGTCCCTCGTCCTTAGCCACGTTCTCCTGTCCTTTCCCTTCTTAGACCACCATTCTCTAGCCAACGCAATGGTCCAGGCAGAACTCCATGGAGACCATTTTGAAGTCCGGCCCGATTATGTCATCAGGAAATCACCGGATCCAGCTCAGAACAGCTCTGACCCAGGCGAAGCTTTGTGGATGGTCCCACCCCACGTCACAGAACAAACCCTGTGCAGCCCACGGCTGTCATGAAAGTCGATATTTGGGTTTTGTCCTCAGTTCTAGAAACGGAGCTCCTGAAACCTGGGAATTTCTTGAATAACAGGAGTTTATTTTATCATTCATAACAGACTCCCTTTGGACTCGTTCTGAGCCTGTGGGGTCCCCAGAGGGTTTCAGGGTGGGGGCTACTCAGCAGAAAGGTCAAACACAGAGTTAAACTCTTGAGTTCAGCACGGTGGCCCACGCCTGTCATCCCAGTGGCTCGGGAGGCTGAGACAGGAGGATTGCAAGTTGGAGGCCAGCCTCAGCCACTTAGTAAGACGCTGGGTTCAATCTCCCCAAAACAAACAAACAAAAAAAACCCCAAACAAACTCTTGAACAAGATTCAGACAGCTATGGAGTTGGCAGACATATCCTTGATTCCCTGGGGACAGGGCTCCTGTGTTGGGACCCTTCCTGACCTTGATCCATTTACCTCTTTTTCTGGCTGGTCAACTATGACAGGAGTGTAGTACTTTCCTAGGATCTACAGGTTGTTCTAGTAAATCACTGAACCTGATCGGGGGTTGTGGGGACTTCTAAATTGGCGGTCAGCGGGGCAGAAGTGTGGGCAGAGGCTGGGTACCCCACTTGTGGTGGGTATAGACAAGGAGGACCAGTGTTGCGTGAGCAGGTCTACACTAACTCTAGGAGACAGTGTCAGACTGAACTGATTTCTAGGGCGCCTAGTTCGTGTCAAAGGACCACAGAATCGATTGGTACAGGAAAAGCCACATTTATTTCGTGTCAAAGAACAACATACCTTTTTCCAGGTGTGGTGGCACATGCCTGTCCGCCCATCTACTCAGGAGGCTGAGGCAGGAGGATCGCAGGTTC